GGCACCACGGGGACCAAAATTAGACCTCGCCATCTCTGGGGGTGGCTGCGATCTGCGAAACTGTCGCCACTTTCAAGGGTTGCTGGTGGGTCCAGCGGAGTGGAACACCACGGGGACCCAAATTAGACCTCGCCATCTCTGGGGGTGGCTGCGATCTGCGAAACTGTCGCCACTTTCGAGGGCTGCTGGTGGGTCCAGCGGAGTGAGGCACCACGGGGACCCAAATTAGACCTCGCCATCTCTGGGGGTGGCTGCGATGCGAAACTGTCGCCACTTTCGAGGGCTGCTGGTGGGTCCAGCGGAGTGAGGCACCACGGGGACCCAAATTAGACCTCGCCATCCTGGGGGCTGCGATCTGCGAAACTGTCGCCACTTTCGAGGGCTGCTGGGGGGCCCAGCGGAGTGAGCCCTACCGCGGGACCAATTAGGACCTCGCCATCCCTGGGGGGCTGCGATCTGTGAAACTGTCGCCACTTTCGAGGCTGCTGGGGGGCCCAGCGGAGTGACGCCCTACGGGGATTCAGATTAGACCTCGCCATCCCTGGGGGGCTGCGATCTGCGAAACTGTCGCCACTTTCGAGGGCTGCTGGGGGGCCCAGCGCAGTCTGCACCCGCGCGCATTCCTTGGGGGGTTGCGATCTGTGAAACTGTCGCCACTTTCGAGGACTGCTGGGGGGCCCGGCACAGTCTGCACCCGCGGCGGATTCAAGTGAGACCTCGCCATCCCTGGGGGGCTGCGATCCGTGAAACTGTCGCCACTTTCGAGGGTTGCTGGGGGGCTGCACCCGCGGCGGACTCAAATGGGACCTCGCCATCCCTGGGGGGCTGCGACCTGCGAAACTGTCGCCACTTTCGAGGGCTGCTGGGGGGCCCAGCACAGTGGGTGCCCACGGCGGACTCAAATGGGACCTCGCCATCCCAACACAGTCTGCACCCGCGGCTGACTCAAATGGGACCTCGCCATCCCTGGGGGGCTGCGATCTGTGAGACTGTCGCCACTTTCGAGGCCTGCTGGGGGGCCTAGCGCAGTCTGCGCCCACGGTGGATTCAAATGGGACCTCGCCATCCCTGGGGGGCTGCGATCTGTGAGACTGGAGCGCCACTTTCATGGGACCTCGCCATCCCTGGGGGGCTGCGATCTGTGAGACTGTCGCCACTTTCGAGGGCTGCTGGGGGGCCCAGCACAGTGGGCACCCGCGGCGGACCCAAATTAGACCTCGCCATCCCTGGGGGGCTGCGATCTGTGAAACTGTCGCCACTTTCGAGGCCTGCTGGGGGGCCCAGCACAGTGATGCCACACGCAGATTCAAATTAGACCTCGCCATCCCTGGGGGGTTGCGATCTGTGAAACTGTCGCCACTTTCGAGGCCTGCTGGCGGGGCCCAGCACAGTGACGCCTCCGAAGTAGCTTACACATCAAGTTGATTGTCCATACAAGTTTCGGCCAACTCCTCGTTTCCATTGATACAAATGGGTTGGGTACGTCACAGGGTAATTTTCCCAACCCTCCTTGGTTGGGTATTCGTTTTGAGTAGAGCAGTGTGGTCTCCACTTCTTCCCGTCCCGCCTCCCTCTTGCCTCCTCCTGTCTTGCCTGCGGGGGGCTGCGATCTGTGAAACTGTCGCCATTTTTCAGGCCTGCTGGGGGCCCAGCACAGTGACGCCACGCGCGGACCCAAATTAGACCTCGCCACCCCTGGGGGGCTGCGATCTGTGAAACTGTCGCCACTTTCGAGGCCTGCTGGGGGGCCCAGCACAGTGAGGGCCACGGGCGGACCCAAATTAGACCTCGCCATACCTGGGGGGCTGCGATCTGCGAAACTGTCGCCATTTTCGAGGCCTGCTGGGGGGCCCAGCACAGTGAGGGCCACGGGCAGATTCAAATTAGACCTCGCCATCCCTGGGGGGCTGCGATCTGTGAAACTGTCGTCATTTTCGAGGCCTGCTGGGGGGCCCAGCACAGTGAGGGCCACGGGCAGATTCAAATTAGACCTCGCCATCCCTGGGGGGCTGCGATCTGTGAAACTGTCGCCATTTTCGAGGCCTGCTGGGGGGCCCAGCACAGTGAGGGCGACGCGCAGATTCAAATTAGACATCGCCATCCCTGCGGGGGGCTGCGATCTGTGAAACTGTCGCCACTTTCGAGGCCTGCTGGGGGGCCCAGCACAGTGAGGGCCCCGCGCAGATTCAAATTAGACCTCGCCATCCCTGGGGGGGCTGCGATCTGTGAAACTGTCGCCATTTTCGAGGCCTGCTGGGGGGCCCAGCAAAGTGAGGGCCCCGCGCAGATTCAAATTAGACCTCGCCATCCCTGGGGGGGCTGCGATCTGTGAAACTGTCGCCATTTTCGAGGCCTGCTGGGGGGCTCAGCACAGTGAGGGCGACGCGCAGATTCAAATTAGACCTCGCTATCCCTGGGGGGGTGCGATCTGTGAAACTGTCGCCATTTTCGAGGCCTGCTGGAGGGCTCAGCACAGTGAGGGCGACGCGCAGATTCAAATTAGACCTCGCCATCCCTGGGGGGCTGCGATCTGTGAAACTGTCGCCATTTTCGAGGCCTGCTGGGGGGCCCAGCAAAGTGAGGGCGACGCGCGGATTCAAATTGGACCTCGCCATCTCTGGGGGGGCTGCGATCTGTGAAACTGTCGCCACTTTCGAGGCCTGCTGGGGGGCCCAGCACAGTGACGCCACGGGCGGACCCAAATTAGACCTCGCCATCCCTGGGGGGCTGCGAATCTGTGAAACTGTCGCCACTTTCGAGGCCTGCTGGGGGGCCCAGCACAGTGACGCCACGGGCGGACACCAGTCAGACCTCGCCAAACTCTGGGGGGCTGCGAATCTGTGAAACTGTCGCCACTTTCGAGGGCTGCTGGGGGGCCCAGCACAGTGACGCCATGGGCGGACCCAAATTAGACCTCGCCATCCCTGGGGGGCTGCGAATATGTGAAACTGTCGCCACGTTCGAGGCCTGCTGGGGGGCCCAGCACAGTGACGCCACGGGCGGATTCAAATTAGACCTCGCCATCCCTGGGGGGGCTGCGATCTGTGAAACTGTCGCCACTTTCGAGGCGTGCTGTGCGGCCCAGCACAGTGACGCCACGCGCGGACCCAAATTGGACCTTGCCATCCCTGGGGGGCTGCGATCTGTGAAACTGTCGCCACTTTCGAGGCCTGCTGGGGGGCCCAGCACAGTGACGCCACGCGCGGACCCAAACAAGACCTCGCCATCCCTGGAGGGCTGCGATCTGCGATGCCCGCTTTCGATGTGGCTAGGGTTGCTCAGGGGTTGTAACTAATCAGGTTAATCTAGTCCTTGTCCTGTAGCCAGTGTCCTGCGAGTCTCTCGCATTCCGTCTGCAGACATATGTAACCCTCGCTCCGTCATCGGACACGGAATGACGAGGACGGATTCGTCGAGTATTGCATTCACGCGTGAGGACCGCCCCCGTTCTTTTCTTTCCTCCCCCCTCCCCCCTCGGAGGCACAACGTTTGCTCTCCGTTTACGCACGTGTGCGCTCAGGCCACTGTGCTGGAGCCTCGCCCGTCTACGGGGGCCAACCCATGTGGTTTGACCGGGCCTCTGTCTGTCTGTCTGCTCCGTCATCGCCCCCCCTTATAAAGTGTCCTAAACTATTTGCGCCCCGCGTTTGCGCAGGGGTTGAACACCTCCGCAACCCTCCCATTCCTCGACACTCTCCCGCACTCTTCCTAACATTTTTGGAACCCTCCCATTCCTCCACATGCCTCTGGCACTCCTCCCTGAACCTCCGCGACCCTCCCATTCCTCCACACACCTTCGCACTCTTTTTAACACCTCCGCAACCCTCCCATTCCTCCACACACCTCCGTACTCTTCTCGAGGCACGTATGTGTCCCCAGCAATGGCAGACATGCGTGTGGCGGTTGAGGCCAGGCAGACTACCCGCCTCGCCGCTCACTCGATTTTTCCCTCCGTACTCTTTCTGAGGCACGTATGTGTCCCCAGCAATGGCAGACATGCGTGTGGCGGTTGAGGCCAGGCAGACTACCCGCCTCGCCGCTCACTCGATTTTTCCTCTCCGCTCCTTCTCTCTGCTCCGAGCTGGATTGTGCGCCGGCCATGCAATCATGATGATGATGATCATCATCATCATCATCATCATCATCATCATCATCATCATCATCATCATTATTATCATCTCCGTCTCCTCGCTCATCCCTCCCACCCTCCTCCTCCGTTCGCCGGCTCCCTCCCTCGGAGGTTTTCGGGAGTCTTCTGGGAGGTTCGGGGGCCTCGGCCGGGGAGGTTCCGGGAACACCCGATGGCCTCCAGAGGCCTCCGAAAGCCTCGGAGCCAGCATTCGGGGATGTGAAAGTCTCGCCAACGCATCGCCGACACATCGGCGATGCATCGGCGACATCCCACGACACCAACTGTCCGAACCCCATCTGGGAGGCCTCCTCGGAACTGCATCGTTCGCATCGCCAACGCATCGCCGACACATCGGCGATGCATCGGCGACATCCCACGACACCAACTGTCCGAACCCCATCTGGGAGGCCTCCTCGGAACTGCATCGTTCGCATCGCCAACGCATCGCCGACACATCGGCGATGCATCGGCGACATCCCACGACACCAACTGTCCGAACCCTATCTGGAAGGCCTCCTCGGAACTGCATCGCTCTGGGGGTATAACTGTACAGTCAACCCGCAGAGTGAAGATGGGCAACCCTCCCAAGGGTACCCCTGCATCCTTGCCCCTTCGGCCCATCCTCGGCCACTCGGGCTGGCCAACCTCCTTCGAAAAACGTTCACATGGGCCTCCAATGCAGTTGCATCCTCACCGCGCACCCTCGTGATACGGGTTCACTGTAGTCGTAAACGTCGGGCTAGCGCCTTCTGAGAAGCAGCTGCCAGGGGGGCCCAGCGCAGATCCAAAAAATCCGCGCGGAACGCCAATTTTTTTTGTTTGTATGCCTGCTTGCTTTTCATCTAGTGGAGCAAGGAGGGGGAAGGGA